GCCTCTTCTGTCCTGGTGGCAAGATGAGCACCAGCAGCTCCAGGCGGCACCCTCTCCCCTCAGCAGCAAGGGCTGAAAAAGAGATTCTGTCTTCCCAGTGGTTCCAACCCGGGACCCAGAACTACGTCTCACTGGCCTGGCTTGGGTCACCCGTGCACACCTGAACCAATGGCTAGGCCAGAGGAATGCAGTGCTGTGCTTGGCCAGCCTCCGGTCACATGATCACCTGGAGCACCGCCCCCCCACCTAAACCACATGAATTAAGTGACAGGGGGTGGTTCCCCAAAGGAAAAATGGGGTGCTATTAATTGAAGAAAGAGAAGTGGATCCTGGCAAAAGCAACACCAGTGTTTACACCCAGTGTTTACACCGTATGAATCTGTACATTTCTGTGTCCTGGTCTCTAAAAGGATGTGCTGTTCGTAAAGTAATCCTGCAAATAATCTCTGAGCCTACAACTATCTTTTTGCTTGTGACGTATGGAATTTGCTTTAAAAATAATTAAAGTGAGAGTCACATGACACAGAATTAACTCTCTCTCTCTCTTTCTTTCTTTCTTTCTTTTTGGTACTATGCCCCTAGTGGGAACTGAACCTGACACTCTCTGGTCCGCAGGCCGATGCTCCAACCGCTGAGCCAAACAGACCAGGGCTACAGAATTAACCATTTTAAAGTGAACAGTTCACTACCACTTAGAACATTCGGTGTTGTACAACCACATCTATCTAGTTCCAGGATATGTTCATCACCTCAAATAAAATCACACGCCAGTCAAGCAGTTGCTCCTCGTGCCTTAGTTCACTTCTTTAACTTACTCTGGATTTTTCATATAAGTCAGAATATGTGGCCTTTGTGTCTGGCTCCTTTCACTTCACACAATGTTTTCAAGGTTTATCCACGCTGTAGCATGGATCAGAATTTCATGCCTTTGGATCGGCTGAAAAATATTCCACTGTATGTAATATACTAGAATATGCTTGGCTTTTATTTTATTTTTTATGTTTAATTATGGTAAAATACACATAACACAAAACTTACCATCTTAACCATTTTTAAGTGTATAGTTCTGTGGCATGAGATTCATTCAGACTTTTTCATTTTGCAAAACTGAAACCTTGTATTCATTAAACAAAAATTCCCCACTCTCTTTCCCCCCATCCCGCCCTCCCCACCTCTGGCCCCCAGTGCCTGGCAATCACCATTCTATTTTCTGTCCTTAGGAATCTGACTATTTTACATATTTTATATAAGTGGAATCATATGGTATTTGTCCTTTTGTGACTGACCTATTTCACTTAGCATCATGTCCTCAAGGTTCATCCGTGTTGTAGCATGTGACAGGATTTCCTTTTTTAAGGCTGAATAATATTCCATTGTATGTATAGACCACATTTTCTTCATCCATCCATCCATCCATCACTGATGAATACCTGGGTTGCTTCCACTTCTTGACTTTTGTGAATAGTGCTGCTGGGAACATGATCTACAAATCTCTCTTCAAGATTCTGTTTTCAATTCTTTTGGACATATATATCCAGAAGTAGAATTGCTGGATCATATGTTAGTTCTACTTTTAATTTTTTGAGGAACTAGAATTTGCTTGTGTTTAAAATTACTTTTCTGCCTAACTCTTTCCTGAAAATATTTTATGCAGAAGATGCTAGTAAGAATGTAAAACAGGTTTATTTTTAATGCTTTGAAATTCTCATAGGGGAAAAGAAAGCACCTCAATTTAAAAAAATCTAATAAGTGGAATCCCGGAGACCAGTTGGAGGTCAATTTCTAGAACAGTGTCTCAGTCCACATTCCTTGGCTAACAGCCAGCGCCCAGGTCCCTTGGAGTCACAATTACAAGCCACTGGCATGGCCTTGACAACTGTTTCTGAACTGTGGCCCCCGGATGGAGCTTTGCTTTTGTCCACGCCTCCCTTAGGAAACACTTTCTCTAGCCAAAGCACAAGAGTAAAATTGGAATGAAGCCATTCTACTAAATAACCACATCAGTGAATTTCCTCCCCTCACTCAACAAACAAAAACATCTGTGGTTTTACAGTCTCATTCATTTGGACCCATCCACAGCGGCACCTACAGAAGCTCCCCACCTAGACACACACACACACACACACACACACACACACACACACACACACACATTACAATCCAGAAAGGCCAATATACAGTGGACATGTGCCAACAGATATAACAATTCTTTTTCTTTTCCTTCTTTCTAAAAATTGCTTTTCCGCCTCCTTAATACATGAACAGGCTGAGTAATCAGTAAATATTGAGCATCTGCTGTAAGTTCCTCAGGGCTGGGTCTTACCTGGATTTTTAGGGCACTTCTTGGCTTCTGGATAAAAATGAGGCTTTCTATAGACATTTGTGGGAGCACCTAGTTCCTCTGCTCTGGCTGGGAGAAGCTCTCTCTTGGGTGTCCTGCCTCTGCCCAGACCAGCTCCCAACCCTGCAGAGTGCTCTCACCACAGACCAAACAGGTTCTCTTCTCAGCTGGATATCCGCCTTTGGCAGGTCCCTGAGACTTTCAGTTTTCTCACCTGTCAAAGAAGGGGATAAATGAGAAACAGTTTCAACTCTAACAACAAATATAGGATTAAACAATTCACCATGCCATCATATTGGGCAGTCATTAAAAAAAAAAAGGGTCTGCCCGGCTGGAGTGGCTCAGTGGTTGAGTGTCAACCCATGCATCAGGAGGTCGCCGATTCAATTCCGGGTCAGGGCACATGCCCAGATTGTGGGCCTGATCCTCAGTGGGGGGCATGCAGGAGGCAGCCAATCGATGTTCTCTCTCATCGATGTTTCTCTCTCTCTCTCCCTCTCCCTTCTTCTCTCTAAAAATCAATAAAGAAAAAAAAATGTGGGTCATATATTCTACATCTATAGTCAGGAACATGAAAATAAAATTTGTGGAGATAGAGATGTTTGAAAACAAATGAAAGGGTATTTCTAGCTGGTGTGGCTCAGTTTGTTGAACTTCATCCCATACACCAAGGGTGGCGGGTTTGATTCCTGGTCAGGGCATATGCCTGGGTTTTGGCAGTAGGGGGCATGCAGGAGGCAGCTGATGGATGTTTCTCTTTCACATTGATGTTTCTCTCTCTCCCTTCCACTCTCTCTAAAATCCAACAAAAAAATCTTAAAAATATATCATTAAATTTTAAAAAATGCATTTATAGAACAAATGATGGAAAGAAACAATAATCATATCACTGCTTTGTCTTGAAGTAGTTACTTCCAATTGGGACTTAGACACTGCACTAACTATAAATAGTTTATCCCTATAAAATACATATTGTTTGACCTAGCTAGCCCCCAAGTATTTAAATATTAATATATATATATATATATATATATATATATATATATAAAGATGTTCATTTCAGTGATATTTGTTCAAGGAAAAAACAGCAAAACAGCATAAATATCCAACATCAAGAAGTTTGTTAAATAAATTGCGGTGCCTCTAAAAGTAGAATAAGTCATTAAAATAACGAAGATCTATCTTATTTATTTTTAATTTCAGCTTTACCAAGGTATAATTGACATATAAAATTGTAAGATATTTAAAGTGTACATCTGGTGACTTAGTATTATGTACACACTGCGAAAGAACTGCCCCCATTTTGTTGTTGTTTTGTTATTGCTCTTAATCCTTACCTGAGGATATTTTCCATTGATTTTTAGATAGAGTGGAAGGGAGGGAGAGAGAGGGAAACATCTGATGTGAGATAGAAACATCAAGTCAGATCAAACCTGCAAGCCAGGTAGTGCCCTTGACCTAGAATCAAACTGGTGACCTCTTGGTCCCTGAGCGGATGCTCTAACCACTGAATCCAACTGGCCAGGGCACATCATATTTTAGTGATATGGATACACTAAAATGGTAGAGTATAATGCTATCATTTTTGTGAATAAACATAACAAAACTATCTATACTTACAGCTTTATAATTGGAAAGATACACTAAAATTGTTATTGCTGCTTATACCCAAGTAGTGGAATAGAAACGATTTTTATGTACGGCTTTGTTTTTTCTTTCTCTGATTTTTCTACAATGACCTTGTATTCTTTCCTAATAAGAAATGAAAACAACAGACAACTTTTAAAAAAAAATCCTCACAGGAGGATATTTTTGTATTTATCTTCAGATAGAGTGAGGGGGGTGGGGAGAGAGAGAAAGACATTGACTGGTTGCCTGCCCATGACCTTGACTAGGGCCTGGGGGAACCACAACCGAAGTCCGGGCCGTTGACCAGAATCGAATCCCCAACTCATTGGTCCAGGGGTCAACGCTCTAACCACGGAGCAAAACCGGCCAGGGCAACAGACAACTTTTTATTCCCTTGTGGTAGTTATCAATGTCACAGGCTGTCCTAACTCAAATCAGATAAAAGACTATTAAATAGTGCCTATTATATTCATTACATTTAGCAAAAAGAAAGCATTCGGTGGCCAAAGTGAGAACAGTGTTCAAGAGCCACGTGTCAGCAAAATAGGAATAATAATGGTTTAAAACATCATTTCCCAGGAATCTTGTTTGGACCAAGTTAGGGGTGAGGGTGTTGAAAATCAAATATATGTGTAAACGTATATGTTCGTAGGGGAAACTGCTCAAAGTTCGCTCAGGCCTTTCCACCGGGCAGTTACCAAAACAAGTGAGCATGCGCGAATTACACTGAGGCTCGGGCAATCCGACTTGTTTTAGGAAATGCAGTAGAAAAGCAAGGCCTTACCATTTCTAAATTTAGAAAGTCGAGCAAAGAATCCTGCAAAAAGGTGTGGGGGGCGGAAATCAACGGTAGCTCAATGGCATTTTTTGAAACAATGTCTTGCAGGCTGAGCCATAGCTCCAGGGAACTCGGGAGACCGGGCTGCACACTCCCTCTGTGCGAAAAGAAAGGCAAAGCCGGCAGCAGGGACCTTGGAGCACGAGAGGCCCGGCTCTACCAATCAGAGCGCGGAGGGGGACGGGGGCTCCTGCGCATGCGTGCCCCCGGAGCTGGCTCAGGCTGCCTCGGCCAGATTGCGAAGCCCTCCGATTCTGCGCTGTTGACCGGGTCTCCTGCATCTCTCCTGCGTGTCCTCCCACTCCGCCCCGCGATGCCGGTGGACCTCAGCCAGTGGTCTGGGCCCTTGAGCCTACAGGAAGTGGACGAGCAGCCGCAGCACCCGCTGCAGGTCAAATACGCCGGGGCGGAGGTCGACCAGCTGGGCAAAGTGCTGACGCCCACCCAGGTACCCGAGGGTGCGGGGCTGCAGCTGCCGAGGACCGCGAGGTCTTGCAGGCCCTTAGGGCGGGGACCTGGAGGGCAGGAGGCGGGCATTCCAGCCTGCATACGCCCCACTGAGAGAAGGGAGTCGCGGCGCCCACGCTGCAGGCCTGCGTCTGCCCTGAGGCCGGAAACTCCGCACCGGGCAGGTGGGGCGCCGCCCGCGGGGGCAATTAATCCACTTTCCCAGGACTTCCAAACCCCGGCAGGGTCTGGGCCCGGAAACCGTTAGGACCGCGGGGCATGGGGCAGGGTGGGGGCTGTGCCCAGGAATGAGTTGGCCTTGGTCGCCCCCGCGTTCCCAGAGCTTGTCCTCGGGTCTTGGGATTTGAGGTCTCATTTTGGGGAGCAAAGGCCCCACCCGAGGACATGTGGCGCATTATGTAACCGGGTGATTGATCATCATCGCCCAGCGAGGCCGCCTTTGTGTTAGTGGTAGTGACTGCTGCAGCTGGAAGGCTGCAGGGCAAAGGGCATTGTTTTACTGTTTGGTCTCTGACGCCCATGATTGAGGCGGGACCAGGTCCTGACGCCAGAAAGTGGAGAAACCGGAGTGCCTAAGGGCGTTGGGAGTTGTTGGTCACGAAGCTCTGGGGCAGTGGCGTGAATAAAGCTGCTATCTGTGACACTTACTGTTTTGGATGTTTAAATACGAAGTGCCCATCTCGCAGCCTCCCTTTTCCCACACTTGCTGTCCACATCTGGCCACTTGGGTTTTCTCTTCTGTGCCATTTTAAATGTCCAGCTAATGCAGATTTCACTTGAGCAGGCCCCAGGTAACCTCCTGGTCACCAAATCTGGACCCAAGTGCACCAGAGTTGAAGTCTTGACCCCAGCTCTTTCTGGGATACCAGCCTTGTAGTGTTGTTGGGACTGAAATAAATAATGTAAAGAGCATATTAAACTTCGGCTTCTGCCGCTTAGTAGAGTCAGTACACTTTAGCGTTTTAAATAATCTACACTGTTGGGAACCTGAGTGTTGGTTTCTTTAGCATTTCTGACTTTTAAACTCCAAATTGGTTCCTTCCTACAGGTTAAGAACCGGCCGGCGAGTATTGAATGGGATGGTGTTGATCCAGGTAAACTCTACACCTTGGTCTTGACAGACCCGGATGCTCCAAGCAGAAAGGACCCCAAATATAGGCAAGTTGGGGAACTAGGGGTCATCCACATGTGAACTGGTGCTGCTTGCACTGTGTAAGCCCTTCACTGGACAAGGCTGTGCTGGTAGACCTGGTTCGGGATGCTCACATACATGCTTAAGCCAGAGTGTGCATTCCTGGTCTCTTCACTTTCTAGAGCAGGAGGCTGGAAACTACGGCAGAGTTGCCACATCTGCCAGAGGCCTGTTTTTGTACAGCCGCATGAGCTAAGAATGGTTTTTACATTTTTTTTAATCATTGGGAAAAAATGGAAGAAAGAAGAATACTTAGTGACCTCTGAAAATTAAATGAACTTCAGATTTCAGTGTCCACAAATAAAGGTTTATGGGAACACGGCCACTATAACTCAGTCAGATCTTGACTATGGCTGCTTTCATGCAAACAGCCAGAAGTTGAGTTGTTGTGACAGAGACTCTATGAACTGCAAAGCCAAAAACATGTACTGTACAGTTTGCTGACCTCTGCTCTAGACCATCTCAGAGGGAGAGAGGTGCTAGGTCCTCTCTCCTGCAGACACAAGAGGTTTGTGATGGCCAAGAAAGCAGGACTGTCCAGTTCTTCGCCGCATCCTGGCATGGAACGTGGGCATTTGGTGGTGCAGTGAGTTCGTACTTACTTCTCATGGAGTTGATGGTCCTGTATTCTCTCATAGGGAATGGCACCATTTCCTGGTGGTCAACATGAAGGGCAACAACATCGGCAGTGGCACAGTCCTCTCTGATTATGTGGGCTCTGGGCCTCCTAAGGGCACAGGTGAGTAAAGGCTACTTTTGGGGAGATGTGAGGGGAGCCAGGGTGCACATTAGGATTGGCCTAAAGTGCTGCACATTTTAGTCTGATTCTTACAGCTTTATTCTTTGATTTATGAGAACCCTTACCCCAGTGGAGGTTTCAGGCAGTGCAGTTCACCTCCGAGGCAGTAGAGTCAGGTGGCTAGAATCCTGGGTTCTGGTTAGATGGTTTCTGTTAGCATTGCCTCTTAGCTGCTAAGCCTTTAGTATGCAGGGAAGTCTGTGAGAAGATACCAAGGAAGCAGTGTTGCAGAATGCTTGAAATGGCTTCCTACAGGGGCTGCACATGGATTGAACACAGTTAAACCATCTAAGTTCTGTTTTCAACCTTGGCCCTGTGGGATCTTTGGGCTTTTAGTTCCCACAAAAGATCTCAGAAATGATTTCTGATCGTAGCGTCTAAGTTAATTATTAAAAATTGTCTTCTTTATCTCTATAGCTTCTCTCTTCTCTCAAAAATCTAGCATGGTATCTTGAAAACATTCAGCCCTCTCATGCATTCATAAAAGGAAGGTAAAGGTACATCTTTCTCAGGGATCTATTAAGTTCTGTAGGGCAGTTATAAAATTAGGCAGTTTAATTATTTAAGTACACACATGAGAATAAAGCAATTCTCTCAAGTAGGAGCTGTGTTCTCATTAACAAAAAAAGCTGAAGTAACTCACTTTTTTTTTTCCTTCTTTTCATATTTTTGTTTTAGTAAGGTGTAACTTACATATAATAAAACACACCAAATGTAAGGGTTCAGACAGTAGATATTGATGGATGCACACACCTTTTGAAGTTAACTTCTCCCAGAGCTAACCATTTTCTGACACCTCCCTCCATCGATTGCTTTTGTATTCCTGTAAATGATACGCGTATGCATTTGTTTTTGGTGATTGCTCTCTCCAGATAATGTCTGAGATTCATCCATGTTACTATTTGAATCAGTAATTCATTCCTTTGTATTGCCAAGTGGTATTCCATTGTGTGAATATACCATAGTTTGTATAGCCATTCTCCTGTTAATGGACATTTGGGCTGTTGCCAGTGTTTGGATATTACGAATAAAGCTGTTGTACATATTCTTGTCATTTGTGGGCATAGTTTTCCGTTTTTCTTGGGTTAAATACCTTGGAGTAGAATTGTTGGGTTATAGAAATTGCCCAAGAGCTTTCCAAAAGGATTGAAAATTTTTACACTCTAATCAGCAGTATATGGAAGTTTCAGAAGATCCATATAAGATTCATGTAGCTCCATAGCAAAATGCATGTTGTAGCATGTGACAGGATTTCCTTCGTTTTTTTTTTTTTTTTATCCTCACCCGAGGACATTTTTCCATTTTTTGTTCAGGTAGAGCGGGAGGGAGAGAGAGGAAGAGAGAGAGAGAAACATCGATGTGAAGGGACACATCGAGTGGCTGCCACCCGCACGACCAACAAGGGCCGGGGACAAATTGCAACCGAGGCATGCTCCCTTAGCGGGAACCGAACCCGGGTCTCTCTGTACCGCAGGCCGACGCTCCAACCGCTAAGCCAAACCGGCCAGGGCATTTCCTTCGTTTTTAAGGCTGAATAATATTCTATTATGTATTTATTCCACGTTGTGTTTATCCATTCATCTGTCAGAGGATATTTGGGTTACTTTCACCTCTTGACCATTGTGAATAATGCTGCAATAAACATGGGTGTACAAATACCTGAATAACTTTTCTTTAAACAACTTTAAAAAAACAACTCATGGCACCTATTTGTGTCCAGTACAATTGGAGCTTGTAGAAAGCTGCAAGGTGTATAGGGTGCTTGCTGGCTCATTTTAAAACATTCTTTGCTTGTTAACTGGTTCAAGTAAGTTGAGCCATTTCTTTCTTGTCTTCCAAGGAAGTAAGTTTTGGAGGTGGAAAGGTAATGTTCTCTGTTAGCCTGTGTAGGCGTGACTGTGGTATGATGAGCACCTGGTCATTGATTTGCTGTGCCCTTCATCCATTTCTCTCATCTTTTTTAGCATCTTCTATGTGCCAGGCACTAAGTAAGGCAGGTTCTAGGGTGATCATGGTCAACAAGACAAACACTAGCTTTATGGGGCTCTCTTTCCAATGAGGTGATTACATTAAAAAGTAAGAATTTTAGATAGCCTTGTTACTATGACAGAAGTAAAACAGGCATCCTTACAGGAGTGGTGCAAATGACTGCGGACCAGCTCCTACTGGGGGTGGGCAGGAATCCTGGAGTGGGGTGACTGAGGAGCAGAGAGCAGTAGGAGGGGAGGGCAAGGGTCAGTTCCGTAGGTCCTTAGAGGCCGTAATGCAGGGTGTGGGCTTTGTACCAATTGCAGTGGAGTGACACTGGATGGTTTCCAGCAGGTGAGTGACCTGACTCATTCCTATCTGGGGTCTCAGTGTCCTTGTAAATGGGGTGGTCTGGGTTCCTCCAAGCTGGCACATTCTGTGAAAATGGATGATGTCTCCATCAGCTTCCTAGCTGTGTATCTCCCTCGTGCCTCTCCCTCCAGGCCTTCACCGCTACGTCTGGCTGGTTTACGAGCAGAACAAGCCGCTGAAGTGTGACGAGCCCATCCTCAGCAACCGATCTGGAGACCATCGTGGCAAATTCAAGGTGGCATCTTTCAGGAAAAAGTACGAGCTCGGGCCTCCAGTGGCTGGCACGTGTTACCAGGCGGAATGGGACGACTACGTGCCCAAGCTCTATGAGCAGCTGTCTGGGAAGTAGGGGAAAGCCAGGAGACAGATGTTGCCCCTGGGGGCCCCAAGCAGTGTTCTCAAGTTCAGTGATATATGTAGATTTCTCCTCGTCCCTGTTCCCATTCTCATAGGCCAGACCTGAGCAGATAGTGGTGTAGGGTGACTTTTCCGCCTGCCCGTCCTTTATAATTGTACAGGGTCACACCCCGTGGTTTATGTTCTGATCAAATTTGAACTCCCTTTTGGTGGCTATTTTGGTACTGTGATGCGGTCATCATATTGTTAATATAAGAATAACAACCCAGAATTTAAAGGAGAAAAATTTTAGGTAAGAAGAACAGGTCTACAGTGATAGTGCAGAGCATCAAAACATCTTCAAGGGAGATTAAAACAAAAAAAGAAAGATTTATTGCCTCTTTCTTTGTGCGCCTGAATCCAAAACTGCACAGTGGCATATTCCGGGATGTGTTTTCATAGGCCCGTCTCTCACCAGACAACCAGAGGCTGGCATCCTCTAACCCCCATGGCGCACATCTCGGGTTAGTTAGTAGGTGTGTCACTGTCCTGCCCTGGCTCCTTGAGAGAGCAGCACTGGAAGAGGCCGTAAGGAGAATTGCTCTTCTGTCCCGGCAGCCGTCTGGATGAGCTACAGGGCTGGGTGAGGTTATCAGAAATCTGAGTCTGTGTCTGTTAAACTGATCACTCTTCGTTGGTGTAACAAAAGTAGGTCTGGAGTTGCTGAGTATTGTGTTAATTCTGCTGTTTGCCTCTAGTTGAATAAAAATAAAAACATTGTGTGGACAAACTAGGCCTCCAGCTATTTTGCCCTTTTGGCTATGGGGTTTCAGAAATGTTGGGCAGTCACGAGACAACCTCAAAGGGTGAATATTCCCGAAATGACTGGGACTTGATTCAGGGATCATACAGAGGGTCCATCCTTACACACATGCGATTAAACGATAGCAGGAGCAACCATTCATTTCAATTTGAGTTTGTTTTTGTTTTTTAAATCACAAAACTTGAGCCAAGTCTTCTTGCCCAAAAAGCACCTTTGCGTTTTGTAAGTGGTCTACCATGGTGTGCTTGTGTACAGGCACCAGAACAAATAGCCTACCCCTCGCTTTGTTCTGACATACAACCCATATAGAATCAACACCAAGGTGGAGGGTGGGGGAGAAGATCACTCACAACGGTTGATGTACCAAAAGGAAGAAACGGTGCTCAAAGGTCCGAGTCACTGATCCTGAGTTAGGCCTGGCAGGTGCCAGGCGAGACTGGGTTTTCCACCACCTTTCGCCATTTACTTCTCTGGAAGACTGTTGGAAATGTTGCCTCATGTAATCTCTAGGGACAGATAAGGTAGAGAGTATATATATATATTTTTAACTTTAGGGGTTTAAAATTAGTTTTTATTTATTTATTTATTTTTGTTCAGGTAGAGTGGGAGGGAGAGAGAGGAACAAAGAGAGAGAAACATCGATGTGAAGGGACACAATGAGTGGTTGCCACCCGCACAACTGACCAGGGCCGGGGACAAACTGCAACCCAGGTACGTGCCCTTAGTGGGAACCGAACCCGGGTCTCTCAGGACTGCAGGCCGACACTCTAACCGCTGAGCCAAACCGGCCAGGGCAAAATTAGTTTTTAAAATAATATTTTATAAAGCAAAAGTAAAGAGAACTACCCTGCTAACCTTCAAATACCTTTGAGAAGTAATACACATGGTTAGACAAGGCGAACAGTATGGGAAGAAAACGCTTTTCCTCTTCCTGTCTCGACCACAGTTACTGGTTTTCTTTCAGAAGAAAAGTAAATGTTGATATCAGTATATATTTACATATTTATCCTTAAAAATTAGAGTCTTGCGCCCTGGCTGGTTTGGCTCAGCAGTTGGAGCGTCAGCCTGCGGACCAGAGAGTCCCGGGTTCGGTTCCCGCTAGGGGCACGTACCAAAAAAAAAAAAAAAAAAAATTAGAGTCTTGCTATACAAATCTGGTATACATAGTTTTGCTCTGTCTTTCCTCAACTAATGTACCTTCATGCAGTATATCTTCAGTTAACAGGTCAGCACAATTCACATCATTTTGAACAAATATTCTATTTTATGGATGTTTCATAATTAACCAATTCAATTTCCTACTGTAATTAGATTATTTCTGGTTATTGATATTATAAACAGTGCTTCAGCAAACTCTGTGTGTATAAAATGCTTTGCAAGTAATTTAGTGGAATAAATTCCTAGCATTGAAATAATCAGTTCAAAGACTATCTACATTTTTGATGCTGATCCTGACAAACCACCTTCCAAAAGAATCATACTGATGATATTCGTGTCAATGGGATAGGGAAGTAACTTTCCATACCCTTACCAGTTCCCTCAAACTTTAAACACTTGACAATTGGATATTTATGTATATTTAAAATCATTTACTGTTTCTCTAAACTGTTTTCTTTGAGACTTAAGTTGCTAACCACAGTACTTTTTTAGTTATAGTCAGAAGATTTATGAAGAATCACAGTAATCTGTTTCCTTGTCTAAAGCAGGTATAGATTCATAAATCATTCTGAAAAAGGTCAATAACCCAACCAAAAAAGGTGAAGTGTATGCCCAAGACGTTCACCTAAAAAGAATACACAGTAACCTGAGAAACAATGGGATACCATGTTTTACCTATTGAATTGGAAGTTAAAGTGACCTTGCCCAAGGGCATCTCATAGGCAGCCAGTGCTCCAGGTTCAGAAGCTAGCTCTGGCCTCAAGCCCCGTTCATAACCACCATGCCCGCTTACAAATCTCTGAGGTTCAGCCTCCTCGTGGGAGAAAGGGGTGGGGAGAGTCATTCTGCCCTATTTACCTCACAGTTGGGAAACGATTTTTGTTGGGGTTAAGAGATTAATACATGCAAATGACCGACTTGACCTGATTGACCGATAAGAACAAAACTTGACCTGATGGACATACAGGAACAACGTCTACAAACAGCCGCTTTCCTCGAGGCTGCTTCCTGCCTGGCTACACGTTTACCCAAAGGGTGTTTACAAGGGGTTAGAATGAAGAGACACAGGAGCCTACGCTATATCACAGTACAGCTTTAGCGGCCCCTCCAGACCCCAGCATTTCTGACAACTCTGGAACCTTGGGAACTGCTCATCATTTTGATGTCATGGTAGAACATATGTCAAACATGGCAATTCCTCTTGGAAGCTCCTAAATTAAACTCTGATTAACAGGTGAGGCCAGATCTCAGAAACACAGTCTCTGTAATACTTTAAAAGGTTTATCTCCATTTCCACAACATATTATTATTTTTTATCCTCACCCAAGGACATATTTTCCATTTTTTTGTTCAGATACAGTGGGAGAGAAAGAGAAGAAGAGAGAGAGGGAGAGACAGAGAGAGAGCGAGAGAAACATCGATGTGAAAGGGACACATCAAGTGGCTGCCACCTGCATGACCCAACCAGGGCCGGGGACAAACTGCAACCGAGGTATGTGCCCTTAGCGGGAACCAAACCTGGGTCTCTCTGGACTGCAGGCTGACTGACCTCTAACCGCTGAGCTAAACCAGCCAGGGCTGTAATACTTAAACATTCATAGTACATGGCCCAAATCCTCTGCTTGATCCGGGAGCAAAGTACTTCTTTCTTATATCATCTACTTAAAACTCCAGCAGTTTACAGTTGCTCTAGGATATAGACCTCAACATGACCTGTCAGACCATGATTTTACCCCCATTAGCCTCTCTAGCTTCCTGACAGTTGTCTTACTAAACTCCAAACTTGCTGGCTTCTCAGTTCCTTGAACATGCCAGGCTACTTCTAGATTTGGTCCTTTACAAATGCTGCCTGGAATCCCCTTCTCCCTACCCCTCTTTCTTTGAAAATATTGTATTCACTCTCTTAAGTATTTCTTAAGTGGCCTTCGGAGAATGCTTCCCTGACTAGGCTAGATCCTCCTGTACTATGCTATTGCAACATTACAATTGCAATTTAAAAATATGTATGTGTAATTTTAATGTTTATCTTCTCTATTAGCTGGACCCTTCATAAAGGTAAGGACAACAAATCTCTGCCTTTTAACTGGACTGTTTAGAGATTTAATATTTAATGTAATTATCAATACGGTGAAATTTAGGTCTACCGTTTTATTTTCTGTTTGCTCCTCTTTTTCTTGATATTGATGTTTTTCCTTTCCTGCCTTCTTATTTGAATATTTTCCTTTATTGGATTTTTGGCTATTACCGCTTGGGTTTTCTTTTTTGGTAGTTGGAGTTACAATCTACATAACTAATTTTTTAGTCCACTTAGAATAAAAATTGTACCACTTCATGTAAAATATATGGCAACCAATGTGTCCTTTAACCCCCAACCTTTATGCTGTAGTTGGCATATGGATTCCATTTACATACATTGAAACCCTCACCAGACAATTTAATTTATTTTTGGATATTTTTCCCTTGATTTTTTAGATAGAATAGAAGGGAGGGAGGAGAGAGAGAAACATGAGTGTGAGAGAGACACATCAATTGCTTGCTTCCTGCATGACCCAGACCATGGCTGAGCATCGAATCCGCAACCCAGGTACAGGCCCTTGACAGGGAATCGAACCTGAGACCCTTCGGTCCAAGGGCTGATGCTCTAACTGCTGAGCAAGAATATGAGGGGGAAAAGTCTTGTATTTATCTAGATATTTACCATTGGTTGCTCTTCCCTCATTCCCAGAGATCCAAGTTTCTTTCTGGTATCATTTCCCTTCAGTATGAAGAATTACTTCAGCATTTCTTGTAGAGTAAGTCTGCTGGCAATGGATTCTCAATTTTTCTTCCTAAGAATGGTTTTATTTCACCCTCATTCCTCTTCTAGGTTGCTTTCCTACAATCCACCTGCTTTTATTCTTCAGCGTTCTGTTTGTCTAGTTTATAATTGTAATCAACAGGAAAGATCTGCTCTGCCAAACTGGAGCAATAAAAATGGGATTTTTATATCTTATCATTTCTATGGCAAAACGTATTACTAAATTAGAATCAGAGGAGTATAGGGAGTTCTTACAGGGGCATGTTTTCAGTTGCTCAGGAATACTCTTTCCATCACTATATAAACAAATACAGAGGATGGTCAACTCGAGATAAACTTTGACTCGGTATATTAGATGTCACTGGTAAGCGTTTTCTGACACCCTCTGTGACTCCAATTGTTGCAGCTCCTTCAAACTCCTGGTAGTGCCCAGTCCTTGCATTGTCATGTCTTACTCCACTGTTGGTTAACCTAGTCTACTACTGATTTACTTCTGTTTCAGTAGAAAAGTGTCCCCCATCAATTTTATTTACTGCTCCACCCCCCCACACACAGTAGGTGCTCAATAAATACTTCTTGAATGAATGAGTGTATGCTGATCCTGGCACTTCTAATCCCTCTTAACCTACTTCTTCCTTAATCTATAGCCTTTATTACGTCAGATCATTTATTTATTGTAATTATTTTGTTATCAGTTTCCTCCCACTCCCATTCTAAGCCCCATTAGGGCAAAGATCTTTACTTGTTTGAGATATACTGATGTATCTCAGGCACCTGACATAGAAGGTGCTCTGTAAATAGTCACTGAATGAATCTGCAAATCAAAGGTAAGCAGCCCTAGCTAATATATATGACAAACCTGCAATTATTATTTTAACTCAGGGGAGTTTAGTGTACGTTGAAATTATAGGACACTGGCTCTCTGCTGCTGTCCCAGCACCTCTCATGCCTGTTCTCTTGCTGCCATTCCGGTCCTTTTCTATTCTGCCTCCTCGTGAAGGTACTAGGAATCGGGAGACTCAGTCTGTCCCAGGTGATAGGAGCAGGGACCCACGTTCCTTCCT